GCGTTAGATTCTTCTGTACAGGCCGTAGTCTGTAGTGGATCTAATCCGTTCTACTTCAGCGAGGCCGCTTGAACCGATGATTCCTCCTAAATATATATATTGCTTCGTTCATCAAGGGTTGTGCTGGGATCACAGAAAGCCTCAAAAATTGAGCGGACCGTCGGCCACTCTGGAGTCACGATCAACTAACCAAGGATCGATATGAAACACTGCTTATCCATTTAAATACATTACAATAACATTGCCTCTCAGTCCTCGTTTTCCCCTTTTCCTTTAGGTTCGATACGCGGACGCTCAAACGTCACGTTCCGGACAACCTGCTACAGCAGCTGCCACAGGACATGACAACACAAGCGGACCTGCACAAGCCGGTCCTGGCGCTACTGGTTCTTCTACCAGCAGTAATTCTCCCCCTTGTGTTTGTCAACTTCAACTGAAGGCCAATCTTTGTGGGCACACCGAAGCTGTGACATGTTTGGCTGCCTCGAATGCCTTCAACCTTGTTGTCAGCGGAAGCCGCGATCGTACCTGTATACTATGGGATTTGACGCGTTTGTGTTTCCTGCGACAGCTAACGGATCATGTTGCTCCTATTGCTGCAGTTTGTATCAGTGAAGCCACTGGCGATATCGCCAGCTGCGCCGGCACCTATCTTTATCTTTGGAATTGCAACGGAGAACCTATTGCCTCAGTCGACACAATAGTTGGTCGAAATAAGCAAATCTTATGTGTTTGTATGAGCACGGTGCGTGACCTTTGTCTCCTTTCTCTTATTTCATCCAACTTAGTGAACAAACCTATATACACTTCATGATGTTTTGGTGTTCGGTTGAACTTCCTGTGATAGTGCTCATCTCCATCGGATTTGACTCCACTCTAGCTGTGGCCCGTTGACTTTTATCCGGCAGCAGAAATTTTACTGATGTGATCTCCAAATCTATCGGTTGGGGTCTGTGATAGTTTGTTTGATTTCTCATAACTATCCTCTGGTACAGCCTAGGCCGAATTCAGAAGTGTCCCAAGAAGGAGCGGTGATTGGCAGTCAGATTTTTTAAGACTACGAACTAGTGCCTAGTTTTCTGAGGTACACATGATGCTGTTTCATTTGGATTTTGACCTAGCGAAGTTCAAAGACGAACTTTTCACAACGTTATTATACGTGCTGACACTGACTGAAGTTCACGAACAGTATATATAGTGGGTAAATCATTTCCTTGATGTATCGCCTTTTCTGCTATATTTTACAACCTTATTCTTTCTTCACTCACTACCATTGTAGCTGTACGATTGGGATGCCGGAAATGTGGTTCTTACGGGTGGATCAGACGGAGTCGTGCGCATGTGGGGTCTGGAATATACCAGGTTATCATACGATCCCTCTAATTATGATACTAGACAACACGAATCAGCTAGCGTGGTGAAACAACCCGTTCCCATGGAGGCAATGAATATAGCTCGCGAACCAACTTCTATTGATGGAGCTTGCTCAATACCCTTCAATGAAACTGGTCAGGTGAGTTGCTCTTGATGCTTTTAATTCCTTACTTTGTGCGGGTTCGTTTTTCTTCACAAGTTTCTTTTCATATTTGCACAAGTGCAGACCCCGATCCGCTGGGTAGCATCCGTGTACGACTAGTAACTAAGCCTAATCCTATCCTCGCTAGTGTTCTGAATAAAGATCTGATACCCTGATTTGATTATTCAGTTGCGAACATTCATTTCAATTTTTTTCCTCTCTACAGCATGGAGCTACACCTACTGGCGATCAATTGATTTCTGAGCAACCGAGTTAGTCACTATACGACCGTTACGATCAAGGTTGTTCGTTTGAATTTACTCCTGTGTTTTCGAGTGTTTCGCTAGCTTCACTCCCCTACAACTGAGGACGATCATTTCTTCAGAAGATTTTCTATCACACTAGCAAGTTTGAACAACAGAGGTGTGATGTTTCAACAGCCATATTAAGATAATCCGAGCTTTTTACAGACAGTCAAATCAATCAGTTACTGAGGATTCCGCCCATTGTTCGCATATATTTCACAGCACACTGTCTTCATTTTCACTTTTATTTTTTTTTAATCATTTCGATTTCAGTGCGAGAATTTTTGTTCAACATACCTGCCTTATTATCGAGTGTTCTTCGTGATAAACACAGATTTCGTCCGCTTGTGAAGAACGACCTCTAATCTCATTGATACAGGGCATCAGGATGCCGCTTTTTGTTACCCAAAATGACCTTGCAGGGAGCCATTTTCCTCATAATATAGTATTTTTATAGCGCAGAACATTCCAATATTGCTTGCTCAGCCATTCTCATATACCACTAGTTTTTTCCGCTTGCTGCTCCACAAACCCGTCGGTATTCCCCTTTTTGCGTGTGATTGAGAAGACCCATCATTCTTTCTCCAGGCTGGACTAGAGAACTCGCTCCTCGTGGTAAACTGACAATGCATACCGCTTATGGTCGAAGTGACAACCAACAACCGGCCTCCATTACTGCCTTGGCCATATCGCGTGATCATCGCTCTGTTTTGGTTGGTGACTCTCGAGGTAGGGTTCATGCCTGGTCTGTGCCCTCTGAAGCAGGTCGTGGTGGGATGACTGACCAGTGGGTACGTGATGAGGACGTTACCAATTGTGCTACAGACACCTGTTCAGTCAGGTTCTCAATAACGGAACGGAAACATCATTGCCGTAACTGTGGAAAGGTGTTTTGTAGCAAGTAAGTACACGTATCGATCTGCGGTGTATTTCACCGCAGCACAAGCAGCTTTTACATTGCTTTCACCCTTGTAATGTCAGTTTCAAGTGAGGTGTTCTGTCACGCAGAATATAGGGCTCTTCATATACTCTTAACGGCAACCGTGTCAAAGCAGTGACTCACGAGTTGTGCACTGAAGACAGCCGTCAGTGGCAGTGAAAAAAGGCTTGGCGCGCCAATAATTGAGGAGACCGTTCTTCGAATCGAAGGATTGCTACTGGGAATCGGGGGTAAAATATTTCATGCTGACGAAATAGGTGACGCGAGAGTTAGTAAAATGATGCTATGGATGTATAATTCAGAGCTCATCTAACATGCATGTTGTTCGAGGGAACATTATATTGGTCACGGTATCCCCACATTTTTAGAGCACTTTCCCAAGCGATTACATTTCGTCCCTCCGGACGATATTATCTTCACAGCCATTTCCAGGTTACTTTAAAAGTATCTCACCTCACGATCGTGCAGTCCTGTGACTTTCCTATACGACGGGAATGGTACGAATTTGATTAGGATGTTTTATTATCCCTGATTAGTCATTTTTCCTGACTGTTGCATTCTACAGGTGCAGTCGTTTCGAAACAGAAATCCGCCGACTGAGGATCTTCAAACGGGTTCGTGTTTGTCAGGCTTGTTTTACTATGCTGAATCTTATCCAAGCCCCAAAGCTCCGTCCTCCATCTGAATCAACGCGAGGTGACCCGTGAGCTTTACTATTCCAATATTTGCACCCATTCGACCATAAAAGCTTTGTTGTCATCCAGACCAACCTCGGTTTTTTCCGACTAAGAATCTGTGATGTATCCTAATTTCTCTACACCCGCTTCCTGCATTTCTGTGTTTAATAATGCATACTCATGCCCTCGATGTAACATGTCCCGAGCGCTTCCGCTCTAGTACGGAGTCTTGTTTTCTGCGGCCGTCACAGCTTCCATTCACGGACTACTATTCTTATTGGGACATGGTTCAAATTCAGATTAATAAGCGTCTTCTGTTTGCCATCTTACTGTATTTGCTCTCATTTTTTGACATCATTGTCTTTTCTTTTCCCTTCTCCGATCTCTCTAACAATGTGGTGTTAGTGAACTTGTTGTACATAACTATTTATCCGCAAGACGGGGTCCAAGTTTCTCGCATGTCGGTCACTTGATTTCTGCTTGTTCCTTCTATCATCCTTTTTCCAATTACAGTACTTCCTGATCATTGGCTTGCTACAAGAAATGTCAAAGCTTTTCAGTTCACTCTCTGTACAGCCTATTAATACACCTTTACTTGGAGCATGCTGTGGCTTACCATCCATATTATCTATGTCGCACGTATTTTCAGTGAATTGGCTGGGAATGTTACGTGTTAAATGTACCCTTCCATCTTGGGTTAGGTGCTGCAAAATGAAAGTAGGGTTACCAGTACATGCCCAAAGCCAAGAACGGTGTTATTGCTACGTGTTCCTTCTCTTCTAGGCTACAGTTGTCCACATCTGGAGATCAGTTTTGGTCTGTTGAATCTGGAGACACCATCTTGTTCGGACCATAGAACACCTTAATAAACACATTTACTGAAATACTCAGACGAAACCGGAGATCATCCACTCCCCCTTTTTCATGTACATCCAAGTGCTCTGGTCTGCCCCAATGATGACCATTACGGTTTCGACACATATTTCTTGGATATCAACAAATGTAAATTTTATCCGCTTGGATGGGAGTAATCTGTCCGTTAAACCTCTAGTGACGGATTCCGTTGTTGGTTTGGCCCCGCACTTTACCTCTCCCGATCTTGTTGAACGTACTCGTCTAGAGGAAACCACTTTAATCTGCAAGCACATGCTCAACTCACCGTGAGGAACCTAGGCCAGTGCGTTATTCGGCCAGATAGGTGCCCAAAGTTTCGGGAATGGAAAAGGGTGCTTTCATCTCTCAGACAAGTCCTCAGAACGGTGAACCTAACCACAACAGTAGGGATTTCAAGTGTTATGAAGACATTGACCGTTTCTACCACATTCGCGAGGTACACAATAAGTGTGAAATTACAGATATCAGGGGCATCTTCCGAAAACTGAATGCGTGTACACTGATATCCTTGAGATCAGTAGCAACACGGAAACTGAAATCTCCATTAGTAACTCTCAGATAACCCCGCCTAGTTGGTCGGCGTATCCACATGGCAGCTTGTAAGCTACGTCAGTGATGCCTCTTCTATCCTGCTACCGTATTCTCGCTTTTCTGTAGTCGATCACCCAATGACTGTGAGATGAAGGTTCCTGTTCTCTGCGTGATGCTATTCAGCACGGAAAAAACTGATGTGATTTGCCTAATTCCTGGTTGGCAAACCTAATTAAGTTAGTGACTTAAATATACCTGCATAGTGTAAAGTGCTACCGCAAGTTTGTTTGGGATCGAACCCTAGCCTCATGTTTGCGGATAAACCGATTGAGGCAGTGGAGAGATTTGTTTACCTGGGCAGCTGTATCAGTCGCGGTGGTCTCACGAAAGATGATATTTCCATCCGGATTGGGAAGGTCATAGAAGCTGTGGCGTAGGCGTGACATCATCTTTTTTGTCAAGGGCCGAGTTTACAATGCTTCGGTGCGCTCCATATCACTATATCGATCAGAAACCTGGCCGCTGTGCGCTGAGGGCGTCAAAAGACTCAGTGTTTGTTGGGGATGTCAGTATTTCCAAAAACTGCTTAATTTCCGAGTTATTGCCA